CAATTAGTCCAATATTATAATAGCTAGCTAGCCTTCAAAGATTTTTACAATAAAGGATCCTTTATATATATTCCCAATGTGTCTTCATTTGGTTGTAAATATACACAAATCAATGTCTCTGTGTGTGATTTGAAGGATTGCTTGTCAAACAAAGTAGGGTAAATATTCAGTTATGCTAAGATACGCTCATATTCGCTCATATTATTATTCTTCTCCAATATTGAGGTATTTATACAAATACAAAGATGTGTTAACCCTAAATAAAATAGGAAATATATCTAAATTACAATAGGAAGTAAATCTCTATTACAATATGACTAAATAATAATTGGTAAGTAACCCAAATTCTAATGAAATAAGGAACTAAAATCCTAACTAAGTAAGGACTCGCAAACACTCCCCCTCAAGTTGGGCAAAGATATTTCGCACGCCCAACTTGACAAGCGAGTCACAGAACACCATACTTGAGAAGCACCAATTGTAGAGAAGGTCTTTTCGTTAACCACAAGTGAAACAAGTGACAAACTAAAGCAAAGTTCGCAGCGGAAACACAAGAGCAAACCCTAAAAAATAGGGCACATAGCAGAACACAGAAACCCTGTGAGCACGGCAGCAGATAAGGCAGAACATAGAAGCCCTGTGAGCACGGCAGAAGATAAGACAGAACACAGAAGCCCTGTGAGCACGGCAGAAGATAAGGCAGAAACCAAACCCTAAAAAATAGGGTAAGGAAGGCAAACACACCAGCAAAGGCATGAGCGACAATACTGGCACCAACAAGAGCAATAAGGCAGAGATATAATAGGCATCATCAACAGCAATACAAGGCATTGGCACCAGCAACAACAGAGACAACTTCTCTTCACTCCCCTTCTCCCCCTGAAGAGAAGGGGTCGATGGAGCCATATGATCAATGGTACTTGAGAAACATGCACTGACTAACACTGAGATGTAGCAGAATCAGCCATGACAGATAGGTGGTTAAATTGCAGCGGAATAGATGAGCAGCGGTGACAATAGCAAGGTAGGCAGCGATGACGGTAGCAAGGTAGACCTCCTCTCCCCCTAAAGAGAAGAGGTCGTCGGAGTCAAGAAATAAGCAACATCTTCATGGGAATATGTCAAGCTAATGGGGATACGTCAATAAACAAATCCTTTTCACTCCCCCTCCCCCTCTTGATGAGGAGGGGAGGAGAGCACTTAAATTGCAAGGAGAACGCAAACACAGGTCACAAGAAAACCTAGGCTCTTATACCATGTCAAACAAAGTGGGTAGAATATTTTTAGTTATGTTAAGATACGCTCATATTCGCTCATATTATTATTCTTCTCCAATATTGAGGTATTTATACAAATACAAAGATGTGTTAACCCTAAATAAAATAGGAAATATATCTAAATTACAATAGGAAGTAAATCTCTATTACAATAGGACTAAATAATAATTGGTAAGTAACCCAAATTCTAATGAAATAAGGAACTAAAATCCTAACTAAGTAAGGACTCGCAAACATTGCTGAGGTGTGGGAAGAGTTACATACTGAGGTGGATAAATTATCTGAGGGCTGACTTGAAGAGAGGGAACATCACTGCTGAGGAGGAAGAAACCATTGTTAAGTTACACACAGCTTTGGATAATAGGTGTCCTTATTTTTTAATTAAATAAATATATTTTTATATAGTTCTCTTTGGCCAGTTTTTCTTTTATTTAAATTTATGTTTGTGTAGTTTATGTTTGTATGCTAACACCTGTCGTTTACCAAATTGATGACAACAAAGTCAACACCCCTTGATTTGATTATATTAAAACTGAAGTATTTTCGCTTAAATCTCTTATAAATCTTTAATAAATTGTCACAATTGTCCTCAGTTTATTTTTAATTGATTTGATAGATTGAATTTATACTTTTGTCCCTCAAGTTAATACAATGCTTGATATATCCACATTATTGTTTGTCATGTTTGATTTTTTAACTTAATTTTATCATAATAGTTATTGCCGTCTGTTGGGTTCATTTTTACACATGATTTATTATGTTATTCACCCATTATTTTGAGTTAGTTCTTGACATTTTATAGCTTTTTACTTCCTTTGTGTGTTGTCATAGATTTTACCTTGGTTAGAGCATCCACAATGGGCTCCCTAAACCACCTCCTTAGACAAATTTTGGGGAGGATTTGGAAAAATACAACTCCAACCATGCTCCTTATCCACCTCCTAAAATAGGGAGACCTCTAGGAGCTCCTAAATCTGAGGAGAGAGAAAGGACTTCTAGTGGCTCCCTATAATTTAATGAGTATTTCAAACCTTTAATTAATATTAATTAATATTTATATTTTTTTAATAGAGATGGACCAATTAAAAAAGAGTTATAACATTTACGACTCCCTAAACTAGAGAGCTTGATTGGAGTTTAAATTTTATAGAGAGCTACTAAAATAACTTTTAGATGTTTTTAGCTAAAATTTAACTAAAAAATAGAGAGCATGATTGTGGATGCTCTTAGAATGAAAATGAGCTAAAAGTGCATTATTGGTTATAAATTCTGTTTTTGTTCATTTTCGTAGGTCAACTTCTTGGCTTTGGATGCATGCTTCGGTGCTTGGATGAGGTGAAGATCTTCATGAAACTTGTTCCAATGGATGTTGACTACAACATATCCGAAATTGAGCTCCATTGGACAAGTATAACGTATCCAACTGATCCTACATGTTACAACAGCTCCAGAGATTTGTTTTGGGCCAGTTTTTACCTCCATAGTGTCATCTTGATTCTTCTTGTTACCATACCATTTGGTAACAAAAAATTACTTTGATGGAGTGCAATTTTCTGAGACAAAGAGCATCTTGGTGAAGATAAGAACCAAAGAACCCCATCATGGCAAGGAGACAAAGGCAAAAGGCTTTAGCAAAAGGTGGAGTTTAATATTAAAAGTATGAGCTGGAAAGGAGGAGGGAAAGAGCAAAGAGGAAGGCATCAGCTATTATTGAATCATTCTTCAACTTTGCAGAGATTTTTGGGAGCTAGAGAGCTAGAGAGCTAGAGGAGGAAGACAAGGGCAGCCAAGGAAGAAGTGGAAGAGATTTTCACCATTGAAGACTTTGAGCTTCCATCACTTTCACAAAATCTGTAAACTCTTTCTAGTTTTATTTTGAATTTGTGTTTGAAATAAGTATGAGCAACTAAAATCCATAGCTAGGGCTTAGGTTGAAGCCCTAAACATGAATACTCCATTGTTTTGATGCTCAAGTGTATGAATTTCTAGATATTGTTGATGAATTCCCATTCACTAAAATAATCTATCCTTGATGTATGTTTTTCTTTGATTGATCATCTTTGAAAGCATGCTTCTTGAGGTTGTTGGGATTATGTGTATTCTCATGTTTTCTTGAATGTCTAATGTAAACATCATACTATTAGGGTTCTTGTGATGTTTATATTCTCTTTGAACTTAATGGGTTTTTCTTGTAATTGAATCGAAGTACGAAGTACACCTAGATTTGGTTATACGGAAGGCATGGGTATTGTAGCACTAGCCATGCACTCTACTTATATTAGAGAGAATCAATGCGTCTTGAGCCACTAGTCCCGGTCTTGATTGCGAACATCTTCATCAACACATTTAGAGTTCATCACTTGAGTGTCCATAAACATGGGTAGAATTGTTTAGGGTGGATTCCGAAACCCTAGTCTTTGTTACATTTTACTTTCACATTTTGATTTTCATTCCTTCTATTCTTGTTAAAATTAGAGTTCATTTACATTCAAGCATTAGAAATAGGCCACTCAAATCAAATCAACCCCCCCCCCCCCAAAGTGTGTGTGTGTGTTTGAAACGTTGTGTGTCTTCTTCACTGAATTTTATTTATTTTCGTAATTATTTTTTACTTTTGGTCCATGGTGTGTTCTTCCTTTTTCTGTGCTGAATCCAACCGTGTAAAGAATGTGAAATTTGGACAAGCGGTTGGAAAGTTATAGGTCAAAAACTGGACAAAGGTCGAAGCTGAAAAACAGAGAAAACGAACCTGCCAAAAAACGACCGGTCGCCCATGAATCTGTCCAAAAACGACCGGTTGCTCACTGTTCATCATTTTTGACTTTTGGTCTCCCCTGAGTTCTTCCTTTTTCTGTTATGAATCCAACCATATAAAGTACGTTAAATTCGAACAAACAGTTGGAAAGTTATAGGCCAAAAACTAGATAGAGGTCGAACGTGAAATTTGTGTTTTTCTTCGGTTTCTTGTTTTCTTTCCTTTATTTACTCATTTTTTAGTTTCCACTTTGCATCTTATTTTTGTGGTGTGTTAAATAAGTGTTCTTTACGTACTCAAATTAGAACTTGTAGGAAGTCGACAGTTCCTCGTGGGATCGACCCCGTACTTACATAATCTATACCTCAATAGATTCGTGCACTTGCTGGTATTTTAATTGGATGATTGCAAATTAATTGTGTCAGTTACAAATACAACACCCTCATTCTAAATTTTTTCATTCATCAACATTAACACATGACATTTTCTAACTTTATGGGAACAGAGATAAAATCTCTGCTGAGGAAAAGCAACATAAGTCGGCTCTGTAGCAAAGCCAGCAACAGCTTGATCTCCTTTGAACAGACATCAAAAAGGAAAAATCCCATTCCACGAAGCAATAGCATATACATAAACAGTTGTAGAAGCTATTTTGAACAATGCAAGGCTCAAAACTTCTCATATTTTGATGTTTTTATAGCTGTTTGATCTATTAAAATATGCCCAATATTTTAAGATGTCAAACAGCATATAAAATATGTTATTAGTTTATCTTTTGTAACTAAAACTTGAAAAACTAAATGTGATGGCACTATTTACATTTTCATTTATATACAAATAGAACGATGGTCCCTGCCTATTTTCATCCCTTTATACACATTTCACCCAATTTTAAAACAAGCAGGATTGCGCGGGCACCTTTTGCTAGTTTTACTTATGATTCTTCTTGTTGAACTCAACCAAGCCTATCAAACATTTGTTGCCAAACTACCATCACCGTCTTCCAGTATCTGCTCGCGCTTCAAATTCTTGAGCAGAGGAGCACCAACATAATTAGTCTTTTCTCTGTGAACTCCTGAATGGCCGCATCGGAGCAAGATTTGCAGAACCTCCTTCATGGAAGGCCTAGCATAAGGAAGTTTCTCGGTGCAATAGATGCCAAGTCTGAAAACGGAGCACATTTCATCCAAGTGCCAAGGTTCTTTGATGTCCTTGTCCAAAGCATCGGCAAGAGGGTTGTCTCCTTGAACATGGCGCCATGCCCATTCGGCAAGAGCAGTGTGTTCGTCGCCATCATTAGCTTCCCTTCCGGTAGTCAACTCAAGAAGGACGACCCCAAAATTATATACATCAATCTTCTTATTCACTTGTATTGTATGAGAACATTCTGCATTCAAGTGAAATAAAATAAAATAAAATAAAACCTGTGAGATTGCTAATAGAAACAGAGGAAAAATAACACATATTTTTTTAGGAAAGAACTTTAACATTTGTAGGGTGTAAGGTTTACCTGGAGCAATGTAGCCAAAGGAGCCAGCAACAGCCGACATTGTAGCAAGTTCTCCTTTCTTGACCAACATATTGGCTAGACCAAAATCTGCTATTTTTGCATTAAAATCAGAGTTTAACAAGATGTTACTGGAATTTCACGTCTCGATGCGCAACAGGTGGCACACAGTCATGATGCATATAGCGGAGGCCCCGAGCAGCCCCCACTGCAATATGCAACCTCTTAGGCCAGCAACCATCGATCCAGGCTTCGATTCTCCGAGTACTCATAGACAAGTAGTTTTGAATTGTCCTTGGATATACAGCACATCAGCTTCACTATGTTGGCATGTCGAATGGAACTCAATATCTTGACTTCTGCAAGAAATTCTTTTTCAAGCTTCTCTTCTAACTTCTTACCTTTCCAAATCTTTTTCACGGCAACCACATCGCCTGTACGATTGACAGGAACACAATAAACTTTTCCTGAGCCGCCACTTCCAATCAAATTACTTTCTGTCAATCCTGAGAGAATTTTTGACACTCTAAAAAGTCAAACAATATGGTAGAATATTTTCAGATGTATTTCATTCTCCGAAAGGAGGTATTTATAATACAAGGTTACAAACCCTAGTAGGGTCAAACTGGGAAAACAAGTGGAATCCTAATTACATAATATCTATATAAAAGGAAATAAATAAAATAATATCCTAATAGAATAGGATATCTCTCGCTAACACTCCCCCTCAAGTTGGAGCAAAGACGTCACGCATACCCAACTTGTCAAGCGAGTTGAGAAAGATACTTGTAGAAACAGCTTTCGTAAGAACATCGGCTAACTGGTACTCAGAACGGATGAACGGAAAGGAAACAATCTCCGCATCCAACTTTTCTCTAATGAAATTTCGATAAACTTCCACATGCTTTGTACGATCATGTTGTACAGGGTTATGAGCAATTGCAATCGCAGTCGTATTGTCACAATATAAATCCATGGGTTTCTTAGGCCCAAAACCAAGGTCCCTCAACAATCTCTTTAACCATAGTCATTCAGATACACCATGGGCCATTCCCCGATACTCGGCCTCAGCACTAGACCGAGACACCACCTTTTGTTTCTTGCTCCTCCACGTAACAAGATTGCCACCAATCAGCATCTGTGTACCCTTCCACATCTGTATGACCATACTTGAAAAACATTAACCCCTTGCCAGGAGTACCTTTGAGGTATCTCAAAATACGTGTCACGGCACCCATATGATCTTCACTAGGTGAGTGCATAAACTAACTCACTACACTTACTGCATACGCAATATTAGGACGTGTATGAGCCAAATAAATTAATTTTCCCACAAGCCTTTGATAGCGCTCCTTATCAGTATGAGCTTGATCAGGATACAACCCCAACTTGTGATTCTGTTCACTTTGAGTATCAATGGGTTTACAATCTAACATTCCAGTTTCTGCAAGCAAGTCCAAAACATACTTTCTTTGGGATAGAAAAATAC